ACCTCAGGAGGTTATCTAGTCCAACCCCTGCTCCAAGCAGGACCAGCCCCAACCTGATCATTTTAGCCAGGGTTTTGTCAAGCTGGGCCTTAAAAATCTCCAAGGATAGAGATTCCACAACCTCTCTAGGTAACCTGTTCTATTGCTTTACCACCCTCCTAGTGAGCATGCTTTGCCTAATATCCAACCTAAACCTCCCTTTCTGCAACTTGAGACCATTGCTCCTTGTTCTGTCATCTGCCACCACTAAGAATAGTCCAGCTCCATCTTCTGTGGAACCCCACTTCAGGTAGTTAAAGGCTGCTATCAAATCCCCCCTCAGTCTTTTCTTCTGTAGACTAGGTAAGTCCAGTTCCCTCAGCCTCTCCTCAGAAGTCATGTGCCCCAGCCCCCAAACCATTTTTGTTGCCCTCCGTTGGACTCTCTCTAATTTTTCCATATCCTTTCTGTAGTGGAGAGCCCAAAACTGGACATAGTACTCCAGATATGGCCTCACTAGTGCTAAATAGAGGGTAATAGTCAATTCCCTCTATCTGCTGGCAATTCCCACATACTAATGCAGTATGCTGTTAGCTTTCTTATCAATAAGGGCACACTGTTGATTCATATCCAGTTTATTGCCCACTCAATCCCCAGCTTCTTTTCTGCAGAGCTGCTGCTTAGCCAGTTTGTTCCAAGCCTTTAACGATGTGTGGGATTCTTTCATCGTAAGTGCAGGACTTTGCACTTGTCCTTGTTGAATCTCACCAGATTTATTTTGGTCCAATCCTCCAATGTATCTAGTTCACTCTGAATCCTAGCCCTACTGTCCCGGGGAACAGGGTGACGTCGATTACTCACCTGCAGCCTGGAACGACGCTTCTGGGAAATCCACATGGCTCGTGAGCCAGCTATACGTACAGCTGCAGCTGGCTGGTGACGTCAGCACCAGATGCCGGCCGGCAAAGATAAAAATGGGGGCGGCTGCAGCAGAGGGGGCAGATGGCCCCGGAGAGGAGCTGCTACAGGCGCCACAGGAGGAGCAGGTCCCAGGAAAGCATCCCGAGGGGACTAGGGAGCCAGAGTGAGGAGCTCCAGAGAGAGAAATATTGTGGCAGTATCTGGCGGCGGACGTCGAGGGAGCAAGTGCCAACCCGGATACCAGAGAGCGGGGACTGCTATGAGAATCTTGCAGGATCCAGGTGGAGGACTGGTCTGGTGGGGAGTGGAGGACAGCATGAGGGGTGGCAGGAGCCCAGGAGGACCCAGATGAAGGTTCGTGATCGGGGTGGGGTCGCCGCCCAAATCCTGGAGGTGTGGACAGGCTTGGGCTTAGGGGACTAGGCGGAGTAGCACAGGTGTTGGGGCTATAGGTGATCAGCCCCACGCCGGGGAAGGTTGGGGAAAGCACCCAGGGTACTAAGCAGGGAAGGACCAGAGAACCGGGTCCAGAGGTACCCTTCCAGGGAACGGGGTTAGTAGCGAGCCTTGCCAGCAGGGGGCATGACCCAACCCTATGAAGTGTCAGAGCGCAAGTGGGGAAGCTGGATCGGCCCGGCAGCACACAAGACACTGCTGAATCGGCTTGATAGAGGTGGTGTGAGGCCAGGGTGCTGGGGTGGTGGAGCCCCGTGTACAACCACCGGGTCAGACCTGGGCATTGATGGACCTGCCAGGTGACCCGCCCATTGCGGAACATCAAGACGTGGCAGAAGAGAGCAGGATCATCGACGCGGGAGAAAGCACTACCTCGACGCTTCTAAGGGCCCAGACATCCGGCTGGAACATCGGAGCCACGTCCACGTGGATCGATAAAGCCCAGCGGGCACACCTACCTACCCTCCAGTGCATCTACTACTCCCCCCAGCTTGATGTCATGTGCAAACTTGCTGATGGTACAATCCACCCCATCTTCCAGGTTGTTAATGAAGATATTGAACAAAACCAGCCCCAGGACTGACCCTTGGGGCACTCCTCTTGATACTGGTTGTCAACTAGACATTGAGCCATGGTTAACTACCCGTTGAGCCCAACAATCCAGCTGGCTTTCTGTCCACCTTACAGTCCATTCATCCAACCCTTACTTACTTAACTTGCTTGCAAGAATGCTGTGGGAGACAAAGTATCAAAAACCTTGCTAAAGGCAAGGTATATCACATCCACTGCTTTCCCTGCATCCACGGGGCCCGTCATCTCATCATGGATAGCAATCAGGTTGTTCAGGCATGACTCCTCTGAGGACTCTTCACTGGAAGGCACTCACCTGGGTTTGCAGCTGCTGTCCTCCCAGGCAGAAGCACAGTGGCAGAACCCATATTATCATTATTATATTCCATATATATCAATATTATATAATAAATATAATATTAATTATTATCATTAATATTTTTGTTCTACTGAGCCAACCAGGATGAAGACCCATTGTTCTAGGCACAATAAAGTGTGTATCCCAAAGTATGTGTGTTTTAAAGAGATAGGACAATGGGTAACAAAAAGGAAGTACTATGACTCCTATTTTACTAGAGACCAAAGCACAGAGAGATTAAATAACATGCCCAAAGTCACACAAGGAAACATGCAGGTGGCAAAACAATTTTAAGGCGTATTTTCTGAAGCCCATTCTACTGCCTTGACTATCAGACCATACTTTCTCCATGCCAATGGCAACAGTAGCATACTTAAAATAAGGCAGGCATTCAGTAACTTGGATTGATTTGTAGACTTTAACTCAGTTGGCCTCCCCTTTTGTGCCCTTCTGCAGAAGGGCAAAACAGAACTTCCCCGAGTACAGCAAGTGTTTTCCTACATGTGCTGTGCTAGCTGACATGGAGAAGGCAGACTATGCCCATAAATCCTTCCTTCTTTCCCCCTGCCTCTTCATGGTGAGTTGTTCCTACAGAAGCTCTGGGAGGATAAAGTACCTATGTTCTGCTTGCAGTTAACTATTTAATTTAGCCATTAAGCTGAGTGCAGCCATGCCACTGGAGTTTTCTGGTTTGCCCATCACTAGTTGCTGCATAGGTAGAAAAATACTAAAATTCAAAGACATTTACACAGTTACAAGGGCTCCAATTAGTTGTGCTCCCCATCCCCACCTCCTGCTCCATAGCTCCCTGTAACAGGGAACCCTAACCCTGTTACTAATAGACAGGGTGGCCCCTTTAAGTCCAGAACCTTCCAGTCATGGCCAGCCAGTCAAGTAGGGGTTAAGGCACAAGCCCTGCCAGCTGATCAGGTGACAGGAAGAGGAAGGCCAGGATCCTACAAATGGTGAGTGGAGAAGACCAGAGAGGCAGCAAAGAGGTAGACTCCCAATGACTACGGTGCTGCAGCTGCAGTCTCTGTCGGAAGACTGCACCATGCCCAGAGCCATCCTCATGATCATCTAAAGTAAGCAGGCATGTTGCCTTCCTAGTTTAATGTTAACAACCGGTGGTTTGGGTAAGGCTATTGAGGGAAGGAAGAGGCCTCATTGGCAGCCCACTGCAGTGTGGGGACCCTGCACCCAAGAGGGCGCAGCACTTTGCAGGGCTGTGGGCAGCCCAGGCACCAGGGAGGTGCAGTGCGAGATGCACCAGAGAGGGCACAGTATTTTTGGGCGCACCGAACCCAGCGCCAGAGAGGGTGCAGAATTTGGGGGTGAGTTGACCCCAGCACCACAGAGGGGCAGGAGCCCAAGTGAGGGGGTTTTTTTTGAGAGCTAGAGCCTGGGAGTCAAACCCTGATTAGTGGGGGGGTTTTTTGACTGACAGGCCTAGCTAGAGAGAAAAAAAGTGGTAGGCCCACACAGGCCTAGACCCCAACATAAAGAGGAATTTACAGATACCATCTGCGAGGCTTGGGCTGTGGTGTAGGAGAGGAATGGAGCCACAGATAGCGCCCTCTGGCATCAGGGCAGGAATGGGCAGCCTCCTGCTTAATTACATCATTAACTAATTACCAACAAGGCGTGGCAGGAGAGAAGGTGCGTGGTTGGTCCATAACAGGTGGGCGAGGTCACCAGCAGATGGACCCCAAAGAGGCCCCCCCGCTACACTCCCATACTCCCCCCCCCCCCAAAAAAAAAAAAATCAACTGGGTAGAATGTAGAAAACATCAAGACGACACCACTTGGGTGGGGTTTACTTTCTGTAGTGCTAATGCAAACCACAGCTAACACAGATTGCGAGCAATCCTCCAGGTTGAATACCACACAAAAAGCCAAGTTCTTACTAGGACTTGCTTAGACCCTCAAAGAGACAAGCTCAGCTGGTGCTCCCCACTACAGCAACTGGCTGACCAACTCAGTCAGGAGCTACCACCACTGGTAAGTGCCCACCTTTCTCTTACTCTCTCCCTGCTGTGTGTTCAGAGATCTTGCTGCCTGATTTTTCTGCAGGTTGCTGTGGCAATGGAAATAAATCTGTGAACAAACCACTTTCTCAGTAAGCAGTAACTCAGTGTTTAACTTGTTCAACTCCTTATAAGTATCTTTTACTATTTTCTTTGAACAAAAATATTTACTGTAAATAAATAATTGTTCATGACCTCAGCAAAGAGTCCCTGTGATCCAACAGGTTTTATAGTAGCATTTTGGAAAAGGTACCACAAGCACTGGAGACAGTCACAAGTGACCTTAAACTTCTGCACATGATTTTAATGGAATGATAAATTTTGTTAGTCACTTATAATGGAGAACTACTAATTTGCAACAGCATGAGTGAAATTAAAACCTGTGGTAAGAAAGTAACTTTGTCAGTTGCAAGTTGCTTTGGAGAATCCCAGTTAGATCTTTGCACAAACAAAATGCAGTAGATGGGGATCCTGGCACTTAATTTTGTCTCAGCTAATGACAAAGGGTAAGTGAAAAGGATAAATGGCATTTTCAGTTAGTTGATTGGCACTTTGCAAATGACTATTTCTGTCTTTCAAACTGTATCTCTTCAGAAAAACAAAGTTTACTTTTTTTTTTTAAAAAAGGATGACACTAAAAACATGGACAATTACAAAAATTAGGAGCCCCGATTCCAAAAAAGTATCTAAAAACCCTCCCTCTCATAATATCCCAAGCTGAAAGGTGTATGAAAAAATCAAACTGAAAGATAAAATGGGCAAAAAAATTCTTAAAATAGTTTATATTAAAATATAGATAGAAACTTGTGCTGTAGTTATAGCCTAAGTAATGCCATGGCTGGTGTTTCCAATTTTCACACTAAAGATTATATACATATTATATTTTGTATAATTATATAGACTATTATATCTAAAAGATATGTTGCAATGATAATTATAATATGTAATAATAAGGAAGTATTGAATTCAGATAAATTTAATGTATTTCTCTGCCTGGAACTCCAGATAACTGCATAATAGTGCATATTTCTGTAGCAGGGTTTAAAAATTAATAGAGTATATATATATTTGGGTCTTAAAAAAGCAAAACCAAACAAAACCAAAATTATTTATATAAATAATATTTTATTTTATTACACACACATATACATATATATGTATATATATGTGTGTGTGTGTGTGTATATTACACACACACAAACACACACATATATATATATTTAAAACCCAAATTTATCCAAGCTATTGTCTTTTTTTTGTAAATGATATGCATATGCATTGGAAAGGACTCCGTCTTGCAAACTTTGCTTCTAAGTAATCCATATTCTTAAGTTGCTCCCTGATGAGTACAAGCATGAGGATGAGTCTTCAAGTTAGTATGTGTAGAAAAAAATCATTTTGGATGGGGAAGCCAAGTGTAGCCAACCAAATGTCTGATTTTTTTGTTTTTAGACTCCTATTTTTTATTTTAAAAAAGGCTTTAACATGTTCACTTCTGAACTGAATAAGTACAAATATAACAGATTTCAGATCACTAGGTCATTTCTACACAAGCATAATTGCATATTAAAAATACACTGCTTAATGTAAAATTGCCTTGTCCATAAAAATACTAGCATAGAAATAATGCTAATACAGTGTACATCAGCAAATTGCAGTGGATTGTTGCTCTTCACAACTAATATCAGGAGAGCAATTAGTAATTAGCACATATTAAAAATATGTGGCTTTCACTATTTTTACAGGAAAATGGTACATAAATTTTGATCACTTCCCCTTGAAAAAATACTTTCTACTATTTACCACTGTGATTACAGATTTTACCATTTCACCTGCTTCTCTTTGAAAAAAGGTCATACCATAAACACACTTTAAACACACTTTATTGTATAGACAGAGGACTCTTTAAAACTTACAATCACAGCAGCAAACATAAATTTCTGCTTTATCTGCTCATGGGTCTTCATGGTTGTTAACTATTATTGTTAAACCTAAATATACATGAGACCTTATAAGACAAAAAGACATTGCATAGAGGCAACACATACAATCAGATATTAAGTAGTGCAGAATATACAATCATTTTTAAACTACAGGCTGTCAGGGAAAATCACCTGCCTTCACTGTTAGTGACTAAACACTCTCAAGAGAATTTTTTTCACTTCTACAAGCTCTATGAAAACCACAATAGTTTCAGTTAAATTTTTATAATTAAATGTACAAGTGAGGGACTGTACATTTGATTAAAATTGAAATGTAACTAACTAAGCCGTAAAAGGACACAGAGAATGCATTCTCATAAGCGAACATTAATATATTTAGGGGGTATTTTTTTTCTTTTTAAGAGCTTTTCATTTGCAAAATGAAAGTGTCAAACTCAAGACTGCAGATTCAAATCCTGTTTGGTTTAGTAGCTCAGGTAACCACAGTGGCTCTGAAAGGACTTCAGTAATAAGAATCTGACCCACCTACTCATTTAGGAAAGCTTTGTGAGAATACTGAATTATTTTTTTTGTACTCGTCTTGGTCCTACCTGACATCTTGAATTTTATAATTTCTTTATCCTCCTTACTTCCTCTTCAGTTCACAGTGATTTCTTCAAGACTGAATAAAGATCCAATTGAAGATGGCATTTACTAGCTTAGTGAGTACATTTCTATTTCTATCATATAATATCACCCCACCCCATTTTCCCTCCACTCTTTCAAATGTCTTGACCTAGGCTGTAACACAATCTATTGAGCTGATTAAGGAACTGGTCCACACTAGCAGTAAAAGTCCATTAAAACATGTTTCCCTCAACCGCACCAGCCATAGTCACACAAACTGGTAATATGGTTTAGCCAACAGAGGCTGTACATTAATCTGCCTACTGAGTAAAGAAGATACCTATACAATGCACTTCTGTAGAATCACCTAACTGAAGGTTAGTCTGTGCCGAGCTCCAGCCAGGGAGCAGAGGGGAGGGGCCAGCCCTGCTGTGGAGCAGAGAGCCCTGCCCAGCCCAGAGAGCATGATAGGATGCTGGGGGAGTCTCATTTAACTTAAACTAGGAAGGGGTCTGGGACAGACATTGCATAAATCAGTTCGAGGCAAATCAGTTAAGTGTGATACTACTTTCAAACAGGTTTATCCCAAACTGGTTTCAGCCATTTTCAAACTGGTTTATGTGCACAGAACATTTGTTCTTTTACAGGTTTAAACCAGTTTCTGATCACTTAAACCGGTTTGTGTGTAATATCTGTCCCTAGCCCGGATCAGCTAACCAAATAATGAACAAATTAACTAACCAAATGGTTAAAAGGTTTTACTGTCTGATCAGCAATTTTATGAGCCCTTGTTGTAATACAAAACTATTTTATATTATCCCTTTCTGAAGATCTCAGAAAAGATGATAGGGAAAACTTCATTTGGCACCATGGCTAACACTGTGGTTTTTAGCTTTATGATGCAACTGATCTACCCACTGATGAGCAGACAGATACAATAGCACATCACTTGTTTTTTTAACTGCACAGTAGGATCTGACACCATCTCACATGTTAAAAACAAGCATTCTAAGTTGAAGAAAAACACATATCTTGTGGGTAAAAAGTAGCTGTCTACTTTTGGCATCCCACGATCAATTCGGAAACTATGACAGCACAGTGGAAAGTACATTCACTGCCAATTGTTGGATACAGCTTCCATTGACTTTTATAGAAAGGTTCTCACTGATTTTCACAGAACCTGCCGTAGCTGACAGTCTCCCAACTGGAATTAGGCAGCTAAATCTTCTGTAGGCCAAATTCCCTCCTAGTATAAAGAAAAACAACTGTTGAAGCTGATGGGGCTATACCAGTTTATACTAGCAGCCATTTCAGCTGTACTGTTTTTTCAAGAGAAAGACCAAAATTGAGCTTTTGGGTTTATGGGGAGATTCTTACTGGAGAAAAGTTGAGACTGTGGGTGTAGGCACATTTCAAGATGCTTGGATATTATTTTTTAGGTGGCCCTTGCTCTTCACTACTTAGACCAGTGGTTCTCAATGTTTTTAGACTTGAGGCTTCCCTTGGGAAATGCCAGCTCTCAGCTTTCACTTGTTTTTTGAGTACAGAAAAATGATACAGCAATTCTTCTGTTACTTGAAAAAACTACAACAGGCCAGAATATTTAATATTAATTTATATTTTAATACTATGAATTCCTGTTTGAAACCTCTGGATCTCTCTTGTAAATCATATGTGCACACCTAACGGTCCTAACATTGCATGGCACCTTACAGCACTCTTGAATGGATCTTGTGGCACTGCAGGGTGCTGTGACACCCTGACTGAGAATTACTTATCTAGACTAAGAAGTATCATGGATTATTGGGTATTACTTTAATCTATGGCCAAAGCAGGGTATTTGGTTTCCTATTTCTGGTTATGGAAATTTTCCTAGATGATTGGTATAAAATATCAATTTCACTGTTCCTAATTAACTATTCCTTCAGCACAAAGCTAATCTGCTGTTCCATTGCAGGCCACACAAAATGACACAGCTAGTCTGCATTATCACATGAATTCCGCTTCTATGATGCCTCCAGACAACAACATCTTCAACGACACAGACACCTATTGTGAAAAGAGTAATATCATGGAATTTGCTAAGACTTTCTTGCCAACATTTTTCTGCCTTGTGTTCTCTTTGGGCACATTAGGAAATGCCTTAGTTATCCTTGTCTACTGCAAACACAGGTTCAGGAAGAGCATGACTGACAGATACCTATTGCACTTGGCCATTGCTGATCTACTTCTCCTCTCAACGCTCCCTTTCTGGGCAAAAGCAGCTTTAGATGGCTGGATCTTTAAGAATGTTATGTGTAAAATTGTCAATAGTATGTATAAGATCAACTTTTACAGCTGCATGCTGTTTCTGATGTGCGTTAGTATTGACCGGTACATTACAATTGTACAGGCAATGAAAGCAAAGAACTCTAGACGAAAGAGGCTCTTCCGCAGCAAACTTATTTGCTTTGTTGTCTGGCTGACTGCGATAGGTTTGTGCATCCCAGAAATTGTATACAGTAAAGTTAAGCAAGTCAGTGATATAACTACATGCAAAATGATGTACCCCACCACTCTTAACACATCCATCAAAGTTATTCTCCTGTCTTTGAAAATGACAATAGGGTTCTTACTTCCCTTTCTTGTCATGGTTGTTTGTTATGCTCTTATAATCCGTACCCTTCGTCAAACCAAAAAATCCCAAAAACGCAAATCATTGAAAATCATTGCCATCATCATCACAGTTTTCCTCCTCTCTCAGTTTCCCTACAATATTGTTTTGATGGTCAAAACCATTCATACATATACCATGGTCAGATATGACTGCAGAACTGCGGATGCCATGGACATTGGATTTCAGATAACGCAGATCATCGCTTTCTTTCACACCTGCCTCAACCCTGCCCTTTATGTGTTTGTTGGGCAGAGATTCCGTAATGCTCTCATTAAAATTCTGACAAATGCAGCTCACTGCAGCAGTAAGAGCAAGGAGAATTTTGCCTCCCCATGGGATAGCCAAGAACGGAGCTCAGTGTGGTCATCTACAATGGTTGGGGGATTAAAAATCAGAGGTCCTTTTACAGACAGCACTCAGCTGGAGCTCTAATTTGCATCTGCCTGTCTCCTATAGGAAGCAGAGAGACTCTAGCCATCATGAAAGATATCAGATTTAGCCTTTTTACATAATTCTTGCACTATGAGAGAAAAAGACCTTTTCAACAGATTGAATTAGCAATCTCAGCCAGAGTTTGATCCTGCAAATGCTGAGCAGTCTTAACTCTCAGAGAAGTCTGTGAGACTTGAGGGTGTCCAGCATTTCTCCTGATCACAAGAGCTCAGTATGCTGACAGATCAAGCTGTGGGCTTTTGGCTGAAGGGAAGTGAAACCATTGACGGACAGGGAAGTAGTGATGATGCTGATTGTAAGAAGAACTGATAAATGAGAGAGGAGATAAAAGTATCTTTGTTACCGTTGTAAATAACCCATCTGTCCCAATGAGCACGCTCAACAAGCAAGTGACTTGAGATGATCTGCTCATCTCCAACAAGAGGCATAGAAGAAATGTGATGGCTACCTATGACACAATTCAGGTCCATGTTGACTAAGCAAAAAAAAATCTGGGCCTGCATCTCTCGTTTGCCTCCATGAGTTACAGGGATTCATAGTCCACTTTACTGTAAGTGGTGTAGATTTACCCCAGTATGAAGGAGAACAGAATTTGGCTATCAGCATGTGTTTTTCTTCAGTCTTTCTTCTTTGTAAGTAATTTTAGTATATGCAGATAAATATCTGTACTAGTTGCAAAAGCCATTATATTATCAGAATAACATATGGTCTTTCCCTGTTAGATTTTGCATTTTCAAGGTAATCTTTGTAAAAATAAGCTATTTTTTATTCTTAATTTAGTTATTTGATTTTGAAGTGAAATTATAGGTACAGCTCATATCATACAACATATCATATTTTGTTATTAGAAGCTTGCCTGGTATATTAATAAACCTTACAACTTAGAGTAATCTTTTTGAGAGATACTTAGTAATTTTCTGTCAATGTGGGATTTGCTTTTCAAACTGAACAGCCCTAGTAATGCTGGAATGGTGGACAAACTGATGCCTGAATGAATCAGTGGTAATAAGGATAATTACTGAGCATAATAAAATGGTTAAAAAATTATATCCAACCTGGACTTTATATGGCAGACAGTGGAAATGAGTGGAACCTGCAAGAAAGACTTTTCCCTTCAGATCACTTGGGATCACATAAGTCTATAATAATACCCTGCACTTACACAGCTGCTTCTATCCTAGTATGTCAAAGCACTTTAGAAGCATTAAAAAAATATGACACCAGTTATGCAAGGTGTCTGTGACAGAGTGAGGAATAAAAGCTACGGCTCCTGTCTCTCAGTTCTGCGCCTTAGCAGCAGGATTATCGTCCCTACCTTTGAGTTACAAGCAGAAGTGGTGCCCAGCTTGTTCTTTACCAGTTTGGACTCATTTAAATCAGAAATGTAAACTGACAATTTTGATTGTGATTCAAATCAGCAAAAAATGAACTTAAATTGTCAAATTTAGCGTTGTACTTTTATTTCCTTAAATAGTACTCATTGGCTGGCAAATATTAAAAGAGGTTAATAAATATAGTTTTTTAAGTTACCACTGCTAAGCATGAGGATACACTAAATCTATGCATATTTTATATAGTTATTTTGCTTAACATACCTTTAGGTTTTTAAAATTGTACATTTTTTCATCGTGTTAGAAAATGATCAAAGTCTTTCCTTCTTTCTTATTAAATGATTTTTTTTTATTCATGATTCCATCAAGCTCTGTTTGGATCAAAATTGGAATTCAGCAAAACATTATTGTAATTAAAGAATTTAACTTATTGTTTCTGGTCTCCATCTCTTTCAAAATTGTAGAACTAGTAGAGCTTATCTGCTTACACTCAGCCCTCACCTGTATATTAGAAGCAGGAAATAAGATTTCTTGCTTTTCCAGCTCCCAAACTGTTTTTAATTTCAAATTAATTGAATACATTTAAATGTGAAAAACAGTTCCCTCAGCACCTATGAAAAAGCTTTTTCTGTGAAGCCGGTTTAGCACTTTAACATACACTGGTTCCATGTGCTTAGCCAGAGATGTCCACCACTTCAGTGGTCTGACTTTCTTTAAAACTTCAGCCATAAACAAGTACTGCTTATTATTATTACTTCTAAAATTAAAATTATTTGCATAATGAGGTTAGGTCTTACCTTAAATTTGCTATAATTTTAAATTAATTCAATTCTTCATAGGGGTTAAAATTAAATATAAATTTAAATAAAAATCTGATATATAAGTATCACTTTTTATTTAAAAAAAAAATAATTATTTTTTCTAACTGGCACTCTGCTTTCTATTATGCACAATAACATATTCTGTAAAAATATATCATCCTGTGGTTATTTTTATTAAGCAGCCAAGATAGAACGGTTATCCAGGACACAATTAAGAACAATATTTCCACACAGCCTCAATTCTGAGTGAAATTTTCCCACAAACCCCCTATTCCTATACCAAAACCGGATTTGTGTGTACAGGTCAGGCAGTAAGATGTACAGTGACCGCCCCCATCTGCAAACTTGTATGAAAATGAGCATGGATGTGCAATTTTGATAATAGTGATTAGAAATTGCTTTGAAAAAATGTAGTCTTCAAATGGCAAGATAACAATTTACAGTAAGTGAGAAGTACAAGGCTCTGAAGGGGAAAGCAGAGACAGGGCTAATGCACAGAGCACTCTTGCAAGTAGAACACCCAAACTACAAACAGAAGAAACAAAAAATAAAGACGCCTATTTATCCAATCTATAAGGATCGACTGTGAAAAGTGCTGAGCTTTTTATACGTAAGTGCTGAGCTTTTTATATAAAAGTGCTGAGCTTTTTATATGTATTTTACCAATTATAATTTATAAACATTTAGAATAAATTATAATAATTAATAGGTATAGTAATGCATACTTTAGAATAATTTAATGCATTTTTATAATTTGTAATTATGTATAAATTATACATTATAGTTGATAAATAAAGTTTATTAATAAATAAATATGCCTATTTATCCAACCCTTCAAGGTGTACTGTCTTATCTAGTAAAAAGGCATCCCTGAAAGTGCTGAGCTTTTCTAGGGTGCTCTGAGTGTCCTCAGTGATCACTGATGTCGATGAGAACTGAGGATCCTTGACACCAGGCTGGAGTGCTGAGCACAAAGCAGTCTCTGAACATTAAGACTTCAGACCACATCAAACAGAGAGACGGCTTTTGCACTGGAACTTAGAATAAAGCTCGTAACTGACACATTGTTGAGCTTTTCCAAACTCTGAACACATTTTCCTATCCAAAAACATTTTCATCATAATTCTAATGATTTTTTTAAATAGGCATCAAGATTTTGAGCAAGTTCTTTTTAAATTCCCTTCCAGACTTACTTACAGATTCAGAAGTGAGGAGTAGGAAATAGCAGGGCTCATAACACCATTCCTTTCTCATTAAATATTTTACTTCCTCTGCACACTTCCTTCTCAAACGCTAAGCTTGAAGAATGAATATACAAACCTTAGTCGCTGATGAAGTACAGGCCAAAAGGCTTTTGCTGAAAACTCCAGACCCAGATCCATCCGGCAGTCCATAGAATCATCTTTCTGAGCAGGGCACTGCCTATATTTCTTTTTTAGCTCACCTGTGGCAGTACACAACTCATTTTCGTTGCTGAAATGGAATCTTTACATTAGAATCAGAAAGGAGCACATGGTCTTCAAACACCGAGTAAACCACATTAACATCTGTCAAGTAAAAAAATGTAGACCAGTAGACCAAGCCTCAAAAAAAAATTAACAGTTTGGAGAAGAGGAGCTCTTGATCATGGTTCTTCATAATATCTCTTTATGTGGGAAAAAGTGAAACACTGCTCTCCAGAATACCCCAGACCTGTGCTTCCTGCTTTCATTATTACTTTTCCTTATCACTTTGAAGTGTTTAGACTTCCTCCTGATAAATATAGTCTTTACTGTGTGGTTGTTTGGTATAACACATTTTGGGTTTTAATTAAGACGTGACACTTCTTCAGTGTTCTGAAACTAATCTGAATTTTCTCACGGTTTCTCATATAGAAAGGTTGTGACCTGGTCATGCACCCTGGCTTATGAGTCATTTTTTGGAAAGCTTTATATTCTCATATGAATAATTGTACGGTTAGGTTAACGGAACAGTCTAACTAGATTCCAGACTACATGATTAAGCTCTAATTTGGATTGTAGCAGGTCCGTACCTGGGGCAGCAAAGCCACCCCTGAAGGCCACCTGGATCCTGCCTTGCTCACCCCCTCTGGCCTCTCAGGGTCCCACCCTGTTGTCTCTCCTGCCATGTCTTGATGTTATGATTGGACAGGGAGGCTGCCCCTGGAGGGCAGGGGCATTGCTTTAAGTTCTAGGCCCTTGTTTCAGCTGAAGCACTCTGGCCTTGGCCTCTGGCTGGGCCCTTCTGCCTGAGGTCTGCTGTCTCAGGACCAGAGGCTCCTGTGACCCAGCTCCAACCATGTCCTTGTGGGCTCTGGGTCCCTCAACCTCTGGTCTTACACTGGAGGGCTCTTGGCATTGCTGTCTTTCTGCTAACAGCAGTGCTAGGCTAGGACCTGAGGTGCACTTGGCATCCTTCTTGGTGGCCTCCTCTGCCCCCACAACCACAAGCCTATCCTCTGATATTTAAACACAACCAAAAACGGTATGAGCATCTGCTCTCAAACAAAAGGTTCCCCACCCTCGGTTAACACTGTGCCATGGCAACAGGCTACAACACAAAGACCCCAAATACTTCAGCTGCTTGGTAGTAGAGGGTCTTCCTACAGCTGCCCTGTAGCCTGGAGTCCTTCCTCCTTGTCCAGTCAGGCCCCACTCCTCTCTGGAGCTCTGCTTCGTACAACCTACAAGGTCAGATTGCAGGGCCAGATTGCTCCCCTTGCCTCAGGCCCTGGGCTTACATGCCTTTCTCTGGGTCAACTGACCCACTATTTCTGCCCCAGACCTGTCAACTACTAGCTACACTGTGCTGGCCACACATGGGGCGGGCAGTCATTTTATTTAAGGGCCCTCTGCCACTATGTTTGTGCAGAAGGTTTGAGCTAGACAGTTGATTCCTGGCTCCATCTCTCCTACAGTGATGGGGTAGAGGCCCCTAATACTGCGCACAAGAGCTTAGAAAGTCTGTTTGTCTTTGGAATTTTCACAACATATTTTGTAATAACTGTGCCATATCACCAAGTCCCCAGCTGAGCTTTGATTAAATCTCAGTGGGTCTTTTGGGGGGAGAGGATTGAGTAAGAACCAAGGGCCAGAATCCTGATCTGCAAACTAGACACCCAAAAGCAATTCAGGCAATGCTTAGGCAACTAGGTCATAAAAAGTGATGCAACTGTACTCCAGCATCAGCAAATCTCCTTGGACACCTAAATTTATTACGCATCTGCCTTTTGGGCTAGGAAGATCCCTACTTGCCTGAACTCATGCCTCTGCACCTGCTCAAAAGCAATCCTATTCAAGCAACCAAGTACCTAGCTTCTATTGTGATCTAGATCAGAACTAGGGAGGAAGCCAAACTCCCCCTAACTCCCAATAGAGACACAATTCCTTAAGTGCCTGCAGAGCATGACTAATCCATCCCAGCAGCAATGATTTCAGTCAATGAATTCAAGAACATAGCGGGGAACCCATATTTTAGAGTAGCCTTGTAGTTGCAGTGCTCACCTAGGCTGTGGAGTACAGGAGGCTAAGGAAACTTCTAGGCCACCCTCAACATGCCAAGCCCACATACCTGCTTTCAGGAGAATGCTCCAATGACCAAGCTATAGTCTGTCTATGGCACCCTCCGCTTCTACAGAAGCTGGGTCATGAGCCAGGCAGGAAGATGAGAGTGATCGGGATAGAGGGGGGAGCAAGCAGGAGGGAGCCTGACTCTTTAGCCCAATAAAGAAGGCATTCATGGGGGACATATGAAAGCTGAATCGCCTCATGCTGGAAAGGTCCTAGAGCACAGGTGTCCCACTACCTAAATGAGTGCTCTAACCACCTCTCACTATTATATTACTATGCAAAAAGTGGGCATCACCACTGGTGAATTTGGTGCCTACCCAGAGGGGGTGCAGAGGGGGTGCAGAGGAAGCAGACATTCTCCTCTTCAATTGACAACATGGTAGGAGCAGCAGCTGGGGACTTTTTAAAGTCTCTAAATCAGGTAAGATTTCCCATCTCACTTCCCCTCTGTGCCCAGCAGCACCTCCTCTCCCTTCCCCCCCCACCTTCCCACCCCAGCCTTGCTCACTGCTGCCTTTGTGGGGGGTGGTTCTGCCTTCCTCTGCAGTGGGGAGCATGGTCCTCTTCTTTGGATCTCTTGAGCTTATGTTAACAACATTTGTAGCAGCATGACACTAGCTGCTGTTGTTCTCTGCTTTACCTGTGGCAGGTTAAAGTGCTGTCTCTTGTGGTTGTGTGACAGGGTTGATTATAGGTTTAGTATTCAGATAGACAAGTATTTATATGGGATGGTTTGGATAGCGATGACCCTTCTTCAGGTAGGGAGTTGAACTAGATGACCTCCAGAGGTACCTTCCAGTCCTACATTTCCATGATTCTATTTCCTTAGCAGAAA